TTTGTTACTATATACATCCTTGTTAAAGAAATGCATTTTTTCAATTTCAATCCATTCATTTCTATTTGATCTTATCTTAATTTTGTTTATCTAACTCATTTGTAGTTCAGTTATTCTATACGGTATTTCATAGCTTTCATTTTTAGTGTAATGGTATCGTGGTACATATATATATATATGTAACAATAAAACCCACAAATTAGTTAATATTAACAATTACTACTAAAAGCTCCCATTTTTGTTTTGCTAACATTGAACTAGTAAAAGTATTTTACTAGATTTTGAAGTAAACATTTACTAGTGAATGATAGCATTCACTGAAGTTTACTAGTTAGTGATACCTCGTATGCAAATTTGTTTTCATCTTGTAGCTGTCCGTATAAGTTACTTGCCCAGAAATTATGATCAGAGCTGATCGATACAGTAGTGATTGAAAATTTGAAGTCAGACATTCAGTTTTGCAATCAAGATATTCAAAGCAAATAAATTTGTAGTAGAATTTATACAAAAACTAGTAAATTACAAAAAACGATTGGTGCTTTTTTGAAGTTAGTATAAAAGCAAATATTTTAGTTTTGGTGTTTCTGTTTTGTTATCGCTTTCTTGTAATTTATGATGAGTTATAGAGGTTATTCAGTGTCCTTAAAAGCTTTATTTGTTCCAATTTCCACTAATGCACTCTCTATCATATAATCGAATGACTATTACTGAAAACGTTTAGCAAATATTACAGTCACTAGAGACTGCTAAAAAGTATTAGTAAAAGTTGACACATCTCTTTAAAATACGACATTCACTAGTCCAGTGCATAATAGTTAGTATTTTCTAGTGATTGTTGACAATTACCGAATTTCTGACTTTTGTTGTAACAAATGCATTGATGTTTCTATTTGCAATGTTTGCATCACTATATGCATACGATGACATACCGTGAAGCTATTAATGCAAAAATATCTACTCTATTTGCTTTATTAGTCGATATTTCAATACGTCCTCATGATAACGGGACTACCTAAGCAATACTTGGTTAAATAACTTTAAGATATTTGATCAGACACGTTTTTTATGAGAAAATAACGTTGTGAATTTTTATTTGACATAATCCGCTTTTAACTTCTGTTTGCATTAGATTCAAACCTGCCATAAATATAATTCCGTACAGCGGAAAAATAAACGCAGACATCAAGGATTGGACCGAAAATTGCCCAATTTTACAACGAAAGCAAATAGTATTTTTTCATCATATTCTTTGACAATTGTGTCGTTATTGATAATTTATTTTTTCAAGGTTTTTTTCTTATCTCCGCATGACTCTACGTACATGAATTTTCTGAAAATATCGGTAGATAAACATCAGGAAGTTTATCATTTTTTAAACAAATATTTCATTTTTTTTTCGCACGTGTTTCTGGGACTTCACCAAAAATTCTGAAGTAATATACCATAAGACATAAAAAAACGGCGTCACATATGGCTTCACAGCAAATAAAGGTATAGCTGTAATTTTTTATGTAATATTATATGAGGAATATTAGCGTGTACCAGCGACTTCGTTCGCGTCGAATTAATCATTTGTAATGGTGATGATGAAGCAAAGCAAGAATTTCCATTCCAACATACAAACTGGATAAAATTTTCTCACATTTATGTCAGCATGAGAAAAAACATATATAACATATGGCGATATTATTATATAACTTGGTAATATTTGCGGGGTAGTTTCATCTCGTTGGAATTTGACTTTCGAAAAATCCGTTTGCCAAAAATACGCTTTTTACGTCAAGCAGTTTAAGCAGAATCGTGGTTAAGAAATTACCCAACTTTTTGTTTGATTATTTAAAAAATTTCAAAATATGTAAAAAAACCAAATAAATTATGCTTGTCCAAGCGTTTTCCCGAAAGACTAAACGTTTTTTAAATAATAAATAAACAATATTTGAGGGGCGTTTTCACCCTCTGGGAATTTGAGATTCGAGAAACCCCTCCTTATCGAACCTCTACACCCCACAGTCAATCCGGTTGCCTAAAATCAGCTTTAAACGTCAAGCAGTTTAAGCAGAATCGTGATTACTCAATGGTCATATCGAGGGTCATATTTTATGAAACACCCTGTATAAATTTATAAAAAATCTTAAAATATGTAAAACGACAAAATAAAATATACGTGTTTAAGAGTTTTTCCGAAAAACTCACCGGTTTTAAATAAAACATATTTTAATATTTGAGGGATAGTTTCACCCCCTTAGAATTCGAGTTTCGAAAAATCCCTTCTTATCGAACCTCTCCACCCTAAAGTCAATCTGTTTTCCAAAAATCAGCTTTTTACGTCAAGCGCTTTAAGCAGGATCGTGATTAATTAATGACCAGAAACACCCTGTATACATTTTTAAAAAATCTTAAAATATGTAAAAAACAAAATTAAAATATAAGTGTTTAAGCGTTTTTTCGGAAACTTGGCCGTTTTTTAAATAAAAATATTGTAATATTTGAGGGGTGGTTTCACCCTCTTGGAACTGGAACTAGAATCAACCGGTATGCCAAAATTGAGCTTCTTACGTTGAGTGGTTTGAGCAGGATCGTGATTAATAAGTATGTCAGTCACTTAAGGAGAGATTTTATATATTAGTAAAGATTATCGATAGTCATTTCCACGCCAAGTGAAACTGGATACCGTTTTTTTTTCGATAGTATTTTATTTTTTCCTTACTGTTAAAAGACTATAACTTTATATTTTTGGGATAGAACATTCATTAAATAGCAGATTATAGAATTTTCGGTTTAATTACATATTAATAAAAATGGCATTCGTTGTCAAATGTCATAGTTACTGATGATTATTACTTATGATTTTTATACGGAACACCCTGTATGTTTGAAGCAACATAATAGAGAAAATTTTTACCTGATTTCAGAAATATATTACTCATGCTCTTACTTTTCAATAATTCAAAATTTGACAAAATATACTAATAATATATCACTGTTAGTTTTACATATTCCTATAAAATTTGCACAAAACTATTAATTTATTTTTATGCTAACGTTGTATTTTGGATATAAAATCTAATTTTTTTTTCAAAAGTCACAAAAGTATTAGTTTTTGCGACGTGATTGACAATATAAAAAAGTTATTTTTACGCCTAGGCATAAAAGTAGAGCACAAGTGTCAAATTCAACGAGCATATCCATAGTTTCTCGATATATACTCACTTACAATCTTTTTATATATGATTTTGAACGTTCGAAATTGTTTAAAAAAATATTTGTGGAGTTAGTTAAAAAATAGCATGTTCTATTCGGAGTAAAAATTACTTTTTGTGCCTCGCCTGTATGTCAACGTACAGCCTCGCCACAAAAAGTGTCATTTTTACTCCTAATAAAGCAATATACTATTTTTTTTAATCTCATTTTAAGGATCACATTTTCAGAATTTTACAGAAAAGCAAAACTTTACAAATAAATTCTAATAAACATAACAGCGTTGATTAGCACTTTTCTCAACTTATTACTAAAAATATTAGCACTGTTTACAATGACTTTGTTGTAATGTTTCATTTAATATGAGTTCTACACAACACGCTTTAGAAAATGAGTAGGATATTTTACAAAAAAGCTACATAAAAAGTCGCAAACAATTATTGTAATAAAACTTTTTCCAACGCTACATTTTCTCAAATTTTTTGATTTTCTAATTATAAAGTTTAAAGAAAAAAAATATTTATAAGTAAATGGGCCAAGAGATATGCTGTAATTTATTCACAAGTTCGAAATTTGGCCGCTAGGGGACGAGAGACCTACAGAAAATCGAAAATACCAATTTTTCTAAAATTCAAAATCGTCTGGTTTAAAATTCAAGAAAAAATATATTTTTGATAATAGATTTCTGTTTCTAGATCTGGAAACGTTCTACCCATTTTTAACATTTGTATAATTAGTATTAATTTTTGACAAATTTTATTTCAATTTTTAATAAATAACGTTTAGAGATTGTCCTCACCAAAATTATCATTGAATGTCTATTGACAGCTGTTTTTGATGCTTCTTCTCATCATCTGCATAGTTTAAAGCTTCATTCAGAACTTCGCAATTAGTGGAATAAATTAGTGGTTTCAATTACGCTTTATACTTTTTAGTTTACGATAATTCACAATGTCTAAAAAAACACAATTAAAATTAATAGAATATCCTAGCAACAGCTTGCGGTAATCAGTTGTATCCATAGAGAAAGCCTAATATTTAGCTTATAAAACCACAAACTTTTGATTTTGAACCACATTTTCTCTTGACGAATGATAATAAAAGGCCAAAATGACATTCCTCGCAAATTTTGAAGTATAATTAGTGGAAAAGTTAAAAGTTTGTGAACTTTTTCCACTAATTGAAAATTCCTACCACTAATTTTGACGTTCAGAAGACGGATGACGAAGACGAATGAAGAAGATTCAAATTAGAGGAACAAACTTCTGCACTAATTGGAGCCACTACTTGCGAGATTCTGAATGAAGCTTTAATAATTTTAATATAAATGTACCAAACCGAGACTTTGGGTCCAATAAAATGTACATGTAATTCCAATAGTAAGACACCTCTCGAAGTTAGATTAATAATTTTCTAAAATTTAGATAACAAGGGTTTCTGGAACAAGGTGTTTTTGAAACTTTAATTCCTTCCAAAAATAAAATCTCATTAATCCTATCTGAGTACTTATACTCAGAATTTAATCATAACATTCTAAACGTTTTCCATAAACATCACGTACATTTCTCATTATCTGCATTTATACCAAAACAAAAAGAAACATAATTACACGAATCGTTACAATCATCTTCTACACCGGACCCACTTAAAACCGCCATCCATAGCACGCGCCCTTTCTCTTCTTCTTATTCTCGGTCGCTGGCGGTTTGCCGCCTCCTCGAAACCCTGATCCCAACAACTACCTGTAACCTCTCTCTCTTATTCCATAGGTATACCTACCTATAACTGTGTTTTGTTTTCAGCTCCTCCGCGTCTTGCAGCCGCTCGGATCCAATCAGTACCGAACGAAACGTCGACCAGTAAGGACTATACGGCGACCATCAGGTGTGACGGCAGTAGTACCTTCGTGTGGTCGGAGTACCAAACATGTAAAACCATTGATGACGGGCGTCGGATATGGTGCCGCCAACGTTTGGTGACGATGGGCAAAGGACGCGATGCCTCCCTGATAGGGGAGGAAGTAGACGAAACGTCGCGGTGGCGATAGCGGTGGTTGTTTTAGTGATAGGAGGGTGTGATGCAGGTAAAAGGAGACACGGGAGTGTGGGGAGTAATGGGAGTTACGCGTTGGGAGCGAATAGGTTGAGCCATGTGAGACCTGGACCTGTGATGATAGGAAAAGAGGATGATTTCGTAGCCAAAGGAAAAAGTAAGTCCTGTAGAGACACTATTGCAATCTTTAAGGAATATTGTTTTTGAATACACGGAGGAGAAAGTAAACAACAAAAGATTCAGTATCTTTGGTAATGCCTAACTTTGAAAACAGAGTTATTATTGGATCTTATTAATAGGCATCCAATTAGAAACAATCCAATCATATTGATTTCATATTCTTTTAACTACCTACCTTGAGGTAAATAAATGAGGTACAATTTGTTTTTTTATACAATAGTTGATCAGAACTACAGATGATAGAGAAAATTGAAATTACTTCTTTATTTTGAAATAAAGTATCTACAAAATTAAAGAGTTCCCAATCAGTACTTACTACAGTAGTTTCTTCTGACATCTGTGATGATAAAGAAGATGCTAATGTAACCAAAATCAAAAGTCTTCTAAACTATCTGTTTCAAACTTTTAGAAACATAAGTTAATGAACACATGAACCTGAAAGTAAACAAAAAATTCCATTCTCTTGAACAATTTATCTCTCAAAGAATTGGTAACAAAGTACTCCATTTTTTAAAATAATTCTACTAAATTAAAGTATCCCCAATAAGAACTTACTACAGTAGTCTTATCTTACATCTGTGATAATAATATAGAGAGAGAAGAAAGAAAAAAGGACAATCTTTAAGGAATATTGGGTATTTTTGAATACATAAAATAAAAGAGTAAACAAAAGAGTTTAGTATCTTTCATAATATTTAACTTTGAAATCTGATTTACAAACACTCAAAAATATTAACATTTGTTCTTACTATTGGACCTCATTACTACAGATGCAATTAGAAACAACCAAGTCATAGTGTTTTTAACTACATAAACCTTAAAGTAAATAAATGAGGTACAATTTCTTTTATACTTCAGGTACTTCTCAACATAACAGTTGGTTTATATATATATAAAAACGAACTATTATGTTTTAACAGCAGGATTACGGGACGTCCCTGCAGCCACCCTAAATTGATCAAATACCTTTTTTCTTTGTTTTTAAACTTGTGATGATTCTCTATCATCACAACTGGAATTACTTCTTTAGTTTGATAAAATAAAAGAATACTAAATTGGTGTGTTCTCTATCAGTACTTTCTTCGGTAGTAGTTTCTTCTGACATCTGTTATCGTTAAAAACGAGGCTGATGTAACCAAAAGAAGAAGTAAATCTTCTACAATTCATATTACGAATTTTTAAGAATACTTTTTTTGAACACATGAACACATGGAGGTAAACAAAAGATTCAGTTTCCCTAGTATTCTCTATCTTCTCAAAATTACTAATATTTGTTTTTACTATTGGATCTTATTTCTAGAGATGCAATTAGAAACAACCAAATCATATTGTTTTCTACTACATAACCAAAACCAAAAGAAAAAGTAAGCCTTCTAGAATTCCTATTACGAACTTTAAAGGATCCATTTATTGAATACATGAACCTGGAAGTAAACAAAAAATTCAATTACTTTTGTATTCTTTATCTCTCATGGAAATGCGAATAGGTACTCTTTAATTTAATAAGAACCAAATTCTTCTTGAATAAATCTACTAAAATAAAATGTTACCAATTAGTACTTACCAGAGTAGTCTCTTCTTACATCTGTGATGATAAAAACGAGGCTGATGTAGCGAAAAGTAAAAGTAAATCTTCTAGAAAACATCTTACAAACTTTAAAGAACATTGTTTTTGAACACATGAACCTTGTTCAAAAGATTCAGTTTTTTTTGTTTTCTTTACTTCTTAAACAAATGCGAACAAACTACTTTGTAATTTTTGAAGAAATCTACTAAATTATTAATTCCCAATCACCACTTACTGGTAAAAAAGAGGCTGTAACCAAATGAAGAAGTAATTCCTCCACAATTCCTATTACGAACATTAAACAAACAAAAGATTTAGTTTTTCTTGTATTTCTTGTCTCTCAAAAAAATGGGAACGAAATACCCTTAATCTACTAAATAATTAAAGTATTCACCATCAGAACTTACTGCAGTAGTTTCTTCTTACATCTGTGATGATGAAAGTAAATTCTCTAGATTTCCTTCTACAAACTTTAAAGAATATTGTATTTGAATACATGAACCTGAAGATTAACAAATCATTCCTTTTTTTTAACTATTTATCTCCTCTACATACAAATTAAAGAATTGACAAGCATCTCTTCAATAATGTGTGTGATTCTTCTTATATTTAAGTCGTGAATCAAGAGACAAACAAACTATTTTATTTAGATAGAATTTCTATTAACAATAAGAGTTTTCAATCAATACAATAATGTTTATGTTTTGTCTTAACATTTATGATTATAAAGATGATGATATCTGGTATCTAATAATATGGATAAGAAGTCTTTTAAAGTATCTATTAAAAACTTTATAGGCATAAAGTTTTTAAAGGCATAAACCTGAAGGTAATCAATAGATTCAGATTCTATCATACCATTTTGTTACTTTTTGAGAAACTTGGAACAAAATATTCCTTTCTTTTTAGAAGTATCAACTACATTAAAAATATGTGTCATTAATACTATGGTTATGTTTCTTCTTAATAACAATACAATAACATAAAAAGGAGATAATTTTTCATTATCTACTTAATATTTTTAGGCCTGGTAGATCTCGATAAAAGAAACATATTTTCTCTTTACGGTTTTTCAAATAACGAAATAACCAAATTATTTTACTGTGAAAATTTCCAAAAAAAAATATTTTTTGCTTAAATTTTGAGAACCACTGGATCTTTTCTGGAGGTTCTTTCTTGTTTTTAAATTTTCAAATTTATTCTACTACCTATGTTGCCATAATAACAAGAAATTCTGTTTTTTACTAAAAAAAAATTTTTTTTTATTCAAAAAATCCCAGTTTTCAATTTTTTTCGCGAAAAACCTCATAATCGGAGTCGAAATATACTACTCCTTAAAATATTTGCACTTATTTAAGACTCACCCTGTATTAACTCACTTAAATAAAAAAGTTGATGTATTTGGTTTTTGAGAAAAAAAGAATATATGCTTATTAAAAATATAAATATCTATATAATTGCCATATTTGGTAGTGTTTGTAGTAGTATCTATTAAGAAAAAATGTGCGTGGGTTGAAGTTAATAGAAATGAAATCGTTATGTTGTTTTGTTCTGTAATATGATTTGTCACAAGTAATAATAACGCAACAAAAAGTATAAGGAAGCGCTAAATAAAGCAAGAAAAGGATTGATATATTGTAATATTCTTTGTTAAACGTAAATTATCTGAATTCCATGAAGAAAATAACTTTTAAATAATAATGTAGTGTTTTTAAAATAAGTGAAAACAGAGCATACTATAATGTTTTGTTAAAATAATACAGAGATCTGCATAAAGATAATTGTGAAAAATAAACCATTACTTGGCGTAAACTTATACATCAACTTCTCTTACTTTTCTTGTCTATTCGACAACTAAAGTTATTTTTAAAACAACATACATCTTTAAATCAACTGAAAAAAGAACAGCTATTACAATATTCTTTGAATCTTAAATCCAATTTAATTTTATTATATCTGCCATAGTGTTATTTAGGTTAGAACCGATCAAATATATCTTGTTTTTCCATTACCACTTCGAGGCTATAAACTAAAAAGCTTGTAGGAGTAAAATATATAGTGTTCTCTCGAAGGCAAGATACCAGAAGTATGTTTATTATTTTCCGAAGTCGATATAAGTGGACGTTCTGTAGGTTTAATTCAAGGTTTAGCGATTTACTAAATTATACCTCTTGTTAGTTTGTAAATTTATAGTTAATTTTGGTTCTCAATTACCGTTCAATACTGGTAATAACAAATATCCCAGTCTATACCTTTCTGGCGGGTTATTTTTTTTTGAAAAAACGTCAATAACAAAATTTAAGTGTATTCTTTTTAAATGTTTCACACATGTACCTCTTTATTACCATTAAATAGTTCACTCTACATCCTTTAATTTTTGTTAAATTAACGTTAGACATATCACACACACACACACCTATAATCATCATCAAAAAATAATAAAGATTTACAGACACTAATTTTTTTTGAGCAATCTTAATAGAATTAGAAGAGATATGAATTCTCCATTGAAGTAACTTGCTTTTAAATGTGACCAATATTCAATACTAATTTTGTTCTATCTTGTATAACTTTTCGGGTCAAATGTTAATTTGGTTTAACATACAATGGCTATTCTAACTTAATATTAGGGTATACAGGGTAAATTACAATTTAGGTAGATTTTATTGAATTTAGAGTTTATTCTTCATTTTCAGAAAATGTTAAATATGTCAAAAACCTTCTTTAATGAAACCCTCCTTTATTTTTTCCCTAGAATTTCAAAATCAAGGTTCATCATGTCTCGATAGTTTGTTTTTTGATTCATAACAATATATTTTTTATTGGACATATAAAAAAAGAGAGAACTTTTGAGTCAATAATAGACTCTTGAACCAAACACAATAACTATTTACAAAAGTTCTAGCATAAAGAGCTTTTGAAAATCAACGCATCTATGAAATAGTGTTTATTGTTTTTGAATTGTCATTGTCATCGAAAAGTCATATTATTATTGTTTGTTGGCAGTTATCCGAGCAGAGATGATTTTAAGTCTAGGAGTTGTATCTGATACATTGTTGCATGGCTTGAATTGGACTTAGTAGAAATCAAGTTCTGGACTTGAAACCATCTCTGGTAGAATAACTACCACAATTAACAATAATAATATTTCAAATTGATAAACAAAAACAATAAACACGATTTCATAGGTGTGTGTTCTTTTAATGCTATTGCTGGAAATTTTTACTGTATTCTTTAAAAGCAAATATCTCTAACACAAAATAATAATACACCTTGATGACACTATACTACACAAGATACATCTTGATGACAAAGTGGGCTTGAAATGCCTTACTTTGTTGAACCACTCAACATAGCAAAATAAAACACTAAATCACCACAATACACCAAAACACTTTTACTTTTGCACT